ATCGCTAGATGAGAGGGGGGTCACAGATAGACCTCAGCTGTATGGGAGAGAGGTTCGGGGGGGTTACAGTATGGAAAAGGGGGTAAGGAAAAAGTTGAGAACCTAGTTTTAGTGCATACTGTCCATTTCCTGTCTCCTGATACAGGCCATGCCATCTTTTAAACTGATAGGACTCATTGATCCAAAGGCCAGTTATTGCAACAGAACTTCTCTTATCCATCAACATCCCAACATTGCAGTGGAAGCCAGAGCCACAAATGGGTGTCAGCCTCCTTCCTGATGGGGCAGATATTTGATTGGTGGGTGGGTTTATTGGCTTATTGAAAAATTAGGTAGAATAAAGCCAGCATCACCAGAGAGTGATTTTACAGCCCGATTAAGCCCCAGCAGCTGATAGAAACTTTCCCTTTTTAAAATGAGTTGAACATTTTAAGAAAAGAAATGAAATCCTCCATTCTCTTTATAGATTTTTGTTTAGGCATTGGGAAGTTTGAATTTGTTTATTATTTCTCTCCACATTGTCATCCTTCATGATATATTTCTGATGTAAATTTTTTTTTCTAGCAGATTTTCTCCCTTTGCTGCATCTTTTATCTCTTCTTTAATGCTCACATCTGTGACTAGCTAGCGATGCCAGAAGAGACAGGAAAGGGTTAGACTTGTTGAGTAGCTGAAGGAGCTAATTCATTTTTAGAGACATTTTAGTATTAAAGCCTATTTATTTTTTTAAAATCCATTTCTTTTAATGTGGCATCCTAGAGATATTGTAACCATGAACAATGGACTAGACTGTGACAGCACTGAGCAAGGAATGGTGTATAAATTAGTCCATCCTAGGAGTAGCACCAGGAGTCACTGTGACCCTAAGACACCCTCTGAGTCACAGTGATTCCTTTGTGTCCTTGTTCTAGCAGGATAGTCATTTACTACTGGCCTATACCAGCAGCAAAATATGAGACCCCACCCATGCTATGATGGCCAATTCTTCTTCATAGCATATGTGCAATGCACCGCATGTGGCACGTGACCAGGATTCATTACCGCATTTAATCTGCTGGTTGGATCATTAGCTTGCCCAGCCCAGGCCGGGTATTGACGGGAGTGCAATGTGAACGCTGATCCATGCCCCCAAGAGGATGGAAAAGGCTGGAGCCAATCCTCTGCTCATTCCCTGCCTCTCACCAGCTCGGGGAAAATCAGAAGCAGGCATGTGTGGGAGCTTTTTTTTAACTATGCAGCAAGTATTGTATGAACTCAGTGGCATTTCTAAGACTTGGGATTTCGGGCAGCCAGGAATTCCTCTATGGCACTATGACAGGACCTAAATCATCCCTCCCCTCCCCCATTCCCTTATTGCAGAGATTTAAAAATTTTAAACACTGAAGACAATAATACACTTGGAATAAAGTGCATTTTTTGAGCTGCACCTCATCACCCCTGAACTACGACACTATCATTAGTTCAGCAAACTCCGCCGCCAAATAGACACTTCTATTATGTGATGTCTCTGGCAGGGTGGCTGCTCTCTTCTGTGAAGTGTCTACTCAAAGGCCACCCCATTGGGTAGGCTCCAGATACAAAGAGAGCTAGAGAGAGAGAAGCAGGCAGAGGTTCCAGTGCCACTATTCTTGAGCCCAATTCTCTAGCCACGGTATAATAGACTTCAGTGCACGTTGCTCCTAAGACTAGAATACCACGAAAGTCCCTGTCCAGCAAAGCATTTAAACACATTTTAGCTTTAAGCATGAGAGTAAGGACTACTTGTGTGTTCAAGCGCTTGGCTGGATGAGCGTCACCCCACATTAGGGAAATCTATACAAATAAAGAGCACAAATTCTGTTTCCTTTGACGTCCAATGGGCAGAATTTTTCTGAGACTTTGGAGCAGCTCCTCAGAGGTATTTGGGTGCCCAACTCCCATCTGGGCCTTTGTCTTTAGAGAATAATGAATATTTGAAGAAAACAGAAATAGCAGTGATATATGGTTTTCAGTAACGTGATAAGCACAACAAGGGGCCAAATTCTGCTTTTGGTGTAAATGGAGAAACTCAGTGACTCCCTTAGAAATTATTCTGCATGTTGGACTAGGCTGTGCTGCTATAGTCTAATATCATTGCCTATGATTCAATGGGTTGCATGGGCTAGAGAACCACACGCTCTTTGGTGGTACCTAACAGTATAACCACGCCCCCATTGTGTCTGTCTCACTCTTTTTATGAAGCGGCGTGTTTAAAAGAAAACGAGGTAGGGTGTTGTTTTTAGTGGAGGAGAAGCAGTCCAGCCATGCTTTAATGGTTCTCAGCATTGGTTCTGTCAATTAGCACCTCAAGGTGGAAGCTGTTGGCAGAAGACCGCCCGAGCTTAAAACATTGAAGTAGCAAAGTTTGGGTGTTACATGCAGAGGGTACTACAGGGACCCCCTAAAAGCTGTTCATGCTGTAGAACACTAGCACCCGTGAATAGCCTTCAACTCCCAAAGAACCATTTCAGTTGGAAATGCGTCATATCAGCGTAGATACTGCATTGTTACTGGGTGGCTTTTGTTGCTTCTGAACCATCCCTGTGGAACCACAGACTGTAAAGAAGTTGTGAAATGACTTCTGGCACCAAATTAATCTCTTTTTGCACTACATTGCACTGTTGTTTGGAAACAAGTAATAATTAAATGACATTTACAAATAGCCAATTTCTCTACCTTTTTTATTAATTAAAAAAAAAAAGACAACCAGACCATTCATAGCCTGTTAGGAAATGTGAGTTTCTCCACAGCTTTTTGAGACTCTAATAAGTAAGCCATAATGGCACAAAATAGAATGGAGAGCAATGTGATTCTAAACATTGTGATTACCATTTGTGTTAAGGATTAGATTTAGGGCTAAATTAACAAATATTCTGGGAGGGATTGTAGTCTGGTTGTTGGAACAGGACTCCTAGAAGTCTGCTCCATCCCCAACTCTTTTGATGCTTGCTGAGAGTCATTGAACAAGACACTTCAGCTCCCCGGGCTAGATACTTTACTTACACTGAGTAGCACATTCCTCCATGAATGGTCCCATCAACTTTAATGAGACTATTTATGGAGTCAAATTCTATTAATTGTGAATAAGGGCATCAGAGTGTGGACCTCCATTGACCCATCTGCAATGTGGATATAATCTATCCCCACCTCCGAGCAGTGTGGTGAGGTTTAATTGATTAATGTTGTAAAGTGCTGTGAGATCCTTGGATGGAAGGTAGTGTCATAAAGTGAAGCTCATGTGAATCACTGACAATGGTACTGGATATCAGCTAAGGTCCTGATCATGCTCCCATTGATTTAAATGGGAGTTTTACCATTTACTTCAGTGAGAACAGGATCTGGACTTCAGTAGCCAGGATAATTTAGTAATCTGTTGGGGCAACAGAGGAATTATTGGGCACTCTGAGCCTTAGAGTGGGCACAGGTCCAAGGGGCTGCATCCTGACCTCTTTCAGGTATGCTAACCTGCTCCTGGGTGAATTTCCAGCACTCCTCATTGGAGACTGCTGTGAAACCCCTGCCACCGCATCACATGATAAAATAGGATTCAGAAATCATGTGATGTGGACTTTCTAGCAGTGAGTCAGACCCATTGGCCTAAAGTACAGCCACTAAATTGGTCTGACATCAGTAACCACAGTGTAAGAGTATGGCCTCTGAAGTGATTCAAACCAGCATCTTTGTCACCAGTCGTTTTCTATTTATAACAACAACAACACAGATCTAGTTGATAATCACAATAAGGCACAACAGGCGCACGCATTGTTCTGCCTCAATCTCATTTCTCGTGCGGGTGAGTTAAAGCATTCAGCCTTTGGCCTCTTGCCTCACACCACACACACCCAAGGCGGGCAATTATGGCATAACAATGCACACCCTGTTGTGTCTGAATGCATAAAGCCCGTTGCACTCCAGCGCTAACCTCCTGCTAAATGGATTTAAAATGTTCCCCTAAGTGCTGAGTCGCCACCCTCCCTAACTTATTCTTGCCAATGTCATTTTGTATCTAAGTCTTTGGTTTTGAACGAGTGAGAGCTCATGGCATTGTTTAATGTTGGCAACGGCGGGGCATTGCTGGCAATAAAAAGAAAGGGAAAAGTCTTTCCCAGTGAAAAATCAACTGCTGTCATGTGATGAATCTTCAGAGACCGTGAAGCCCTTCACAAAGGGGGCTCTGTGGCTTGGTGGCAAATCCTCAGCTGGAGTAAATACTCCTCACGCAATCAACATCAATGGAGCGATGACAATTTAGATCAGCTACAGATCTTCCCCATGGCTAAGGCTAAGTTTTTGTAAAAGTCACGGACAGGCCACGGGCAATAAAGAAAAATTCACGAACTGTCCCTGACTTTTACTAAAAAGATCCATGATAAAACGGGAAAGGACTGGGCAGCTGTGGGTGGCTGGGAGCTCAGGAACCTCCACCACCCGTGGGGGCTCAGAGCTCCAGGGTCCCCCTGCACCTCCCCACAGAGGGGAGCGGCAGGGTTCCCCTGCCTCCACCGCAGTGTGGAGCTGCGGGGGTCCCCCTGCCCACCTTGGCAGCTGGGCGCTCTAGGGATCCTCCTGCTCCCCGTGGTGGCCAGGGGCTTTGGGGATCCCCCTGCTGCTGCCGCGGTGGTGGGCTTCCAGGATCACCTTCCCCCATGGTAGCCAGGGGCTCTGGGGGTCCCCTTGCCCTGCGGCGGTGGCGGAGAGCTGTGGGGATCCCCCTGCTGCTGCCGCGGTGATGAGCTTCCAGGATCACCTTCCCCGATGGCGGCCAGGGGCTGTGGGGTCCCTCTGCCCTGCTGTGAGGGCAGGGGAGCTGCGGGGGTCCCCCTGCAAAGGTCGAGAGCTGCGGGGTACCTCACAGCTCCCTGCTGCTGTGGGAAGTGGCAGGACCCTGCACCTCCCAGCCGCAGAGGCTGAAGTCGGAGAGCTCTTTGGAAGTCACGGATTCCTGGACTTCCATGACCTCTGTGACAAAATCATAGCCTTACCTAGAGAATTTAGTATTCAGTAATCCCCAGACACCTTCTGCCTTCAGTGTTTTCAATTAATGACTTCACAGCTCCAAGCCAAATTTGATAAAGAAATCTGAAAGGTGAACACAAATGCCTTTAAACTCTAAATAAATACATGAAACAGTTTAGAATCCTGACTTGTTAGATAACCTTGTATGAAGGGGACAAAGTCCTGGGGTATTGAGGGTGGGTTTGAAGTGGAATCAGGTGGATGGGGTCCACATTAACCTATGCATGCTTCCCCATATATACACTGCTGCCATGTAGGTGAGGGAGTATGATGGGTACCAGTGTAGAGGTGGAATTTGGGGGATCCAGGGATTCCATATGAGGGCAAATCCCTACAGCAATGTGGAGGAAGCTGTGGGTGCAAATTTAGAGATTCCAATCTCTGATATGGGTCAGTTTGGCCCTAAACTGGCTCATAGTTGTTCTTAAAAATTACAAACATGTTTTAAAACAAAATATTTAATATGAATAATGATCATGCTTCGCACTTTACTGCTTCAAAGCACTCTACAAATACAAAATCATTCATTTGAAAGTACATTAAAATTTGTACTTACCTGCCAGGATCCAAGTTCAGGGGGCTGAGGTTCTCCAGCCATGTCATTAATATCAGAAAGGTTTAAGGTTCAGTCCCTCCACTGCTATAAGGGCTACTTATATCACTAACTCTTGCAGGAGAAATGCTAGAAAGAACTTTGAACTCAGATCTGGTCAGGCTTAAAAAAAAAAAGCTTCTATTTACTTTTAAAACCTATTTATGGTGGTTGACAACGAAAGGTAACCATTTACCTTCCAGCCTCCATGGACTCTCTGAGTAAGCAAGGAAGACGGAATTGGCCCCTTAACATATTTGTCATTTTCAGGTGACGTAAGTATTCTGTCAATGTATAATTTTAGATTTGACTGTAAGATTTTTGAAGCAGAAACCATCTCTGTGTTTTATTTGTGTACAGCTTCTACTACAATAGGACCCTGAGTGGAGCTTATAACTTCTGCTGCAATACACATAATAAACAACAATAATAATTTAAAGAAAAAGCATTTCCCTTTAGTGTTATGATTCCGTGACTGTACTTGCTACAAACCGTGAATACAATTAATGTCCTACTTTATATAATAGCCAGGATATTTTGTTATTGAAGAAGCAGAGCTTCTTTTTGGGCTTTTTACTTTTTCACATTTTAAAGCTAAGAAAAATCTCCGTATTGTTTCTTTCTAGGCCTTTGGATACAAGAGTTGAAATTTCTCATATAGCTTTAAAACTTGTATGTGTTGAATGAAGAAAGACATCTGAACCATTGATAATACTGTTTCCCAATCTCGATTAGCAGGCAGTTATTTGAATAAAATTGGTTTATTTTCTCATATTAAATAAATATCAGTCTGACCTCTTCTTCTTTAAATTGTTAATTATTTGTTTGAACAGCCAAACTTTGCTCAGTTGTAGGAATGGCATTAAATTGGTATAACTGAGAACAGAGAGCCACTTATGCTGCCCCTAAGACAATCATCTTAAGAGGGTCATCTTGCTAGAAGACCACAAACCCCTCCTGCATGGGATTAGAGCCCATACCAAACAGGAGGTGTTGGGAAAACAGCAACAACTACAGACACAAACGAACATGCTTCCATGCAACTTCACTTCCAAGTTTGTGTCCTTCATATACTAGGCACCACAACCTGCAAACAGAAACATCTAGTGGCTACAAGTAAACACCTCACATCATTACTTCCCACATGGTCATTACACCCATTTTCACTCCTAAGTCTCTCGTTCAGGTCCCTGGAATATTCCTAGATTAGATGTAAATCCTGTGGCCAGAAGCCCTGTAGGGTAGGGACCTCACTATTGACACATGAACACCCCACTGCTGCTTGAGAACTCCAGATGGACAGGGGCTCCTTAAAATGGAACTCTTTGCTGCCATCTGTTGATGAGCAACAGGAAGTGACTCTACAGGCCAGGCCTCATTTGCATTTCTGGTGCGTGATAGTTTGGGACATTATTGTTAAAATATAGCTGTAATTTAGGAGCAATGAAATGCTGTTGACGCTGTTGGGAAATGAAGGGACTAGAAAGCTACACCAAATGTGCTTGGGGTGAGGGGGTCACCATGACCAAGACTACAGTGAGGCACCGCTGGTAAAGGGAACCTGGAAGTGGACAGACCTAAAGAGAAAGTAATGAAAAGAGGCTCCTATCTTCTTCTAGAGGTATCGCTTTGGTAGTAAGGACTTTGTTAAGGGTTCTAGACGCCACTGATTCCACTCTGAAGACTTTGCACAGAAGCAAAGTGGTAAACGACTTCAGAATGGTGAACTGAGCAGAAGGTGCTGAGCTGAGGCAGTGCTGAAGGAAGATGATGGCACAGAAGTGGCTTGGCTGAAGCCACGGAGAGCAGCAGCCGACCTAAGGGTCTCCAGAGCTAGCTTCCGGGAACCCAACAGGAATTAAAGCTAAAATCACTTCACCTGTGCCACCAACAGAAACTCCAGGGTGACTCAGGCAGCACTTCCTTAATGGGCTGCAGTGTGGCCTGCCAGAGTTCTTGGACTCCAGCAACCCTGGACAACAAACTGTGAGTGGGGGAGCTGGGGAGGAGGGAAGTGTTATGTTCATGGCCTGTGCACAGAGAAGTTAGATTAAAAAACTTAAAATGCCCCTAGCTGGAAGGTTGCAATGTAATACTGCTTTACTTCTGAGAATTCAGAACAAGACCACACACGAGAACCAAAAGACAGAGAGCAAGAGAAAGTAGATTGCTCCCTAAAACAGAGAGGCAGACAGCCTTACTCTAAACATGCATCCAAAGAAGTGGGCTGTAGTCCACGAAAGCTTATGCTCTAATAAATTTGTTAGTCTCTAAGGTGCCACAAGTACTCCTGTTCTTCTAAACCAGTAGTTCTCAAACTTATTTGCTTAGGCCCCCTTCTTCGTATCTGTAGTCATTTATACCCCCTCCCTCCCACAAATATGTATTCTACCACCCAGCGGTGAAGGCAGAGCGGCTGCTGGCTGGGCACCCAGCTCTGAAGGCAGTGCCGTGCTAGAAGTAACACAGAAGTAAGGGTGGCAATGTGAAAAGCAGTATCACTTTTCACAGCAGACTTAGCGCCCTGTTGCTGCCCTTACTTTTGCGCTGCTGCCATCCTGGGGCTGACAGCCGGAGCCCCACTACCTCCAAGTTAGGGATTGGGGGCTAGGGGGGAGGAGAGCCCAAGCCTGGGCTGCCTCCCGGTGAGGGATTGAGGGGTGGGGGAAGGAGACCCTGAGCTCGGGGGGAAGGGTTCTGGCTGTCCCCTTTATCCCCACCTTCCAGGTGTGCTCATCCTTTCTTCACAAGCCCCAGCCACCTAGGGCTGACAGCCAGAGCTCTTAAAAAAAAAAAAAGAACAAACCCACAGCTCATGCCTCCCTTGGGAGGCCTGCCCCATAGTTTAGAGCAGCGGTTCTCAAACGTTCTGTCTGCAAGTTGTGCTGGGGTGATGGACTTTATTTTGAACTGTTTCTGTTATTAAACCAGCCCCAGGCAGGAGTGGTTTCAGCCCCATGAGAGAGACTGTGCAGTTCTTAAGGGGCTCTGAAGCGGGGAAATAGAGGCAGGGTGCCACAGCCCTGGTCACAAGGGGGTGCTCGGGTGGTGGCTGACCCTGCAGGGTTCCCAGGGTGGTTAATGTCGTTTCCCAGGTTTCTGGGTGGGCCTGAGGCGGGGTTATTTAGGTTTTCAGGAGGAACTCCTAGATAATTGAACCTGGTCCTTTTAGCTGCTGACACCAGCTGGCAGAGGGGTTTTATTTATATATATGCCATAGTTTCCTTGCAACTGATTTACTCTAGATAAATGTTTAAAGGCTTGGGTCTAATTTTTCTAACTTGGTTCCCTAAATGCAGACACCACAATCTTTATTTAGGCTTAGCTAGAATTGCCGATGACTCCATGAGAACTTCCAGTTTCCAGACTCTCTGATGATTAGGCCTTTTTTGTTTGTTTAAATACCTGATGTTGCACACCAAGGGCCTGCTCCTGTTCCCATTGACTTCCATGGTGCAGCAACAAATCTTAAACCAACACAATGCGCTTCTCTTCTGCAGAGGAAGTGGACTTCCTCTTTCTGTGGGGACCTGCTCCCTGTTCCTGAAGACATGGAGCAAAATCCTCCATGCAACATCAATCTCATCGGTTAAGTCGGCTAATAAGGAAATCACACATTCACCTAATTTGCACTGAGACACTAACAGATGAAACTGAGCTATGTTTTTTGCCCCTGGTCAAATAGCAGTATAAAGCATATGTCTTAGCCACAGGCACAGTTTTGTGCTATGCCAGGCACGTGGGCCACACTGTCCCTTCATTTTGTTAGAAGCGGTGTGCCGAGGCTTCATTTATTCACTTTAATTTAAGGTTTCACGTGCCAGTAATACATTTTAACGTTTTTAGAAGGTCTCTTTCTATAAGTCTCTAATATATAATTAAACTATTGTTGTATGTAAAGTAAATAAGGGTTTAAAAATGTTTAAGAAGCTTCATTTAAAATTAAATTAAAATGCAGAGCCCCCCGGACCGGTGGCCAGGACCCGGGCAGTGTGAGTGCCACTGAAAATCAGCTCACGTGCCGCCTTCGGCATGCGTGCCATAGGTTGCCTACCCCTGGTCTAAACCATCCAAGACAGATGGCTATCCAGTCTCCTTGACATAGGGAAGGATAGGAGAGAGGTCCCGGAGGCCAAATTTAGGCTGCTAGGTAGGAGATTGAAGTCCAGGACCTCCATGGTAGCATTCTCTGAAATGCTCCCAGTTAGACAGGCAGAACTGCAGAGTCTCAATGGTGGATGAGACGATGGTGTAGGGAGGAGGGGTTTAGATTTATTAGGAAATGGGGAAACTTTTGGGAAAGGGGGAGCCTATACAGGAAGGATGGGCTCCACCTAAACCAAAATGGAACCAGATTGCTGGCACTTAACATTAAAAAGGTCGTAGAGCAGTTTTTAAACTAAGGGCTGGGAAAAGCCGATAGGTGCGGAGGAGCACATGGCTCAGACATCCCTTAGGGGATCTATTAATAGAGAATCTCTATGTCCTAGTGACGACCAGAGGATGGAAAATGATAAAACACAGGCAGGGTCTGATCAGAAACAGTCAAATAAAAAAGAGTCCCATTCAATTACATCGTGTAATGGCAGATAGCTAAAAGGAGACAAGTTTTTAAAGTGCTTATATACCAGTCCTAGAAGTCTAAATAATAAAATGCGTGAACTAGAGTGCCTCATATTAAATGAGGATATTGATATAATAGGCATCACAGAAACTTGGTGGAATGAGGATAATCAATGGGATACAGTAATACTAAGGTACAAAATATATTGGAAGGACAGACAGGTCGTGCTGGTGGGGGAGTGGGGGAGTGCATTATATGTGAAAACAAGCATAGAATCAACTGAAGTAAAAATCGTAAATGAATCAAACTGTACCATGGAATCTCTATGGCTAGAAATTCCATGCTCTAATAATAAGAATATAGCGGTATGGATATATTACCGACCACCTGACCAGGATGGTGATAGTGACTGTGAAATGCTCAGGGAGATTAGAGAGAAAAGCCATGCTGGGTCAGACCAAAGGTCCATCCAGCCCAGTATCCTGTCTATCAACAGTGGCCAAT